TTAATAAAAAAACACGCTTAGTTCACATAATTATTGAAGAGCGCAATTGCACACATATTGTTGGGTTTGGATTAAATTTTCATCAGCGATGTCTTACGACGTTGTTCCGACGTCGTTTTAAGGACGTTGGATTGACGTCGGAAGACGTCAAAAGACATCGGAGTACGTTAATATTATGACGTTGCCCGACGTCTTTTTATCGACGTTGGATCGATGTCAGTACTGCGACGTTTTTTGGACGTCTTTTATAAGATGTCGGAACAACGTCAAAATACATCGAAACGACGTCAGGGGATGTTGAGATAAAGACATCGCCCGACGTCATTTTACTGACATCGGAACAACGTCGGAATAGGTCTTTTGACATCGCTGATGAAAATCAAACGTAAATCCGACGTCGGATTGACGTCGGGTGCACACTGGGTACTTATTAGTATATCAAAATTTAGTAATCATTTAAAAAAAATCTTTTTAAAAAACAGCAATGAGCAAAAAAATTTATTTTGTATTGGGGACTTAAACATAGATTGTCTCTTTTTTGACAAAATTATTCAACATTTTATCTTCCCAGTTATAAATAAACCCACCCGGGTAACCACAACATCAGCTACTGCAATAAACAATATAGTAACAGATGCAATTTTCGATGTTTCTCTAAAAGCAGGAATAATCAAGACAGATATATCTGATCATTATCCGATTTTTTTTTCCATGACGCAAGATATTCAATCTAGTTATAACAACAAAATCAAAATTTATAAAAGAAAAATTAACATATGTGTTGTTCAACAATTTAAAAACTCGCTATCGGCAGTAAACTAGGAAAAGGTATACCAAGAATGCAACTTTGGGCGCACCAACTCCGCTTATGATAACATTATACAAGTTTTCTTAAAAAACTACAATAGCATTTCCCCATTCATGTAAACTAATAAAAGAAAATATTTAAAATGTCCATGGATCACCAGAGGTATAAGAAAATCTTCAAAGTATAACAACAAATTTGAAATCTCAAAAAAATTTAACAAATTTTTTGTAAACACTGGCCCTAATCTGGAAAACGTTAACTGCGAATTTTTAAAAAACTAAAAACTGCGAATATTTAAAAAACTAAAAATTGAAGAACTAGAAACTGCAATAAAATCTCTTTAAAAAAAACAAGTCTCCAGGTATAGACGATATTTGCAGTAATATTGTTTTTAATGTTTTTTCAGAGATAAGCAAGCCTATTTTCAAAATATTCAAATCGTCGATTAAAACAGGAATTGTACCGGACAAATTAAAAACGGCTAAAATTATACCCATTCTTAAAACCGGTGAAACTTCATCATCAAATAACTACAGACCAATCTCCATACTTCCTATTTTCTCTAAACTACTTGAACGAATTATCTAAAATAATCTCTATCTTCTCTATCTCTAAAATACTAATACTCTAAAAATTCAATGTTTAATGTTCAGTCGTTTCGCTTTCGTTTTTAAAGCAGTTTTAATTAGTTACAAGGCTTTTCTGAACTTGAAACAGCGCGTTTTCAAAGATTCAAAGTAACAAATTTACGAGCGGCTATTTCCTGAGATCAGATCCCTGTTTTGATTGGACGAAAAATTTAACTTGCATTAGGTCCGATAAAATGTTTATCGTTAGCCGGATTTTAGGAGTTGTATATGAAATATTAGTAAAGCGCATATGATATATTGGAGATATATATTTTAGATTGAGGACTGTTTGAAACTAGTTTTTTGTCCAATCAAAACAGGGATCTTATCTCAGATCTCATATAACCGATGATATAGGTTGTGTTTAGATCATATCCCATTCGGAACGATTAATTTTTACTTGCGTATTTTGCCGAACAACGGAGCAATATTAATAACAACACAACACACGTGCCATATATTATTGTTTGTTACTTAGAATTGCTTTATTACGTGGTCTTTATTTTGTTAACTTTATTGATTTTACAGTGGGTTATTGTATTAATTCATGGATGTAATAGTTGTTAAAGGTTAGTGTTTCTTTCATATACATAATTCTTAACAATATAATAACAATAGTTATATATATATATATATATATATATATATATATATATATATATATATATATATATATATATATATATATATATATATATTCATATATTTATATAATTTTTAAATGAATAACAATTTAAAAAAAAAAATTTTTAACAACATCTTTTATCAACATTAATTGATATCGTCAGGTAAAAAAAGTTACAATTTCTATATATAAACAATTTATTTGGCTGTATTAAAAATTTAATATTTTTACAATTGTTACCATAATTACTTTTTATAAGATAAGTAATTACCATGAAGAAACTCTGACAATAATAGAAAAAGAGTCAGTTGAGTTTTTGCATTTTTGCGTTGAAGTAAGATGTTTGTAAATATAGGATGCCTGATCTAAATTTAAATGTTCTGAAACCGTTGTTGTGTAGTGTCTGGTGTTTTCACCAATATATCCAGCATTACAGCTGGAGCAAACAAATTTATAGACAACAAAGGTTTTTAAATTTGGGGGTTAGGGGTCTTTGATGAAATCATACTACTTATTTTAAAAGTTGTAATAACTAGTCTTGCTTTTATATTATCTTTACAATATTTTAAATGTATTTAATTAATTGATGTTAAAATGTATTTGAAAATTTTCCAATATAAGGGAATTTAAAGTAATGTATATCAGATGGTTTTGGAGATGACATGTTTTCTTTAGGAGAGATAAGATTGTTTAGTCAATTTTTGAAGGTTTTGTCAATTAAGTTGAAGGCAAAAGAGTTTTTTTGGATAGTTTATTTAATTTTTACAATTTCTAGATGAAAACTTGCTGTTTTTTGAAGGCCCTATTGATCAGAGTTTTAATGAATCCAAGTTCATAATCAATATTAGTGAAGCTTTTAAAATTAGTTTGTAAAACTGTGTATTTTTTTTTGAAAAATTTTGAAGTATTTAATTTATAATTTACAGAGTTAATAATAATATCAATAAAGTTCAATTTGCGATCAATCTCTTTCTCTTTATTAAGTTTGGGGTAATTTAATAAACTTAAGAAGAGTCACAGTAAATGGATGAGACTTCATTGACGCATAAATTCATGAGAATGAATTTTAGTAGATGGCACAAGAGACACTAGGGCCATCATAGTATTTGTAGAAAAGAGAAAGAGAAGCAACATTAAGATGTGACAATGTTTGGAGATTGGCTGCAAGAACAGGTCCAACTATGTTTACGATTATGCACCTTATCAAAAAGAGAAAGAGCATCATTGGAAGATCCACCCCAGATATGGCAACTATTTCATAAAAGTATGACAGAATCAATAGTAAGAATGTGACAAGCCTGATAAGGAGATGCATGCTATTTTATTTTGAAATGGATTTGATATCCAAAGATATATAAATATATATATATATATATATATATATATATATATATATATATATATATATATATATATATATATATATATATATATATATACATATATATATATATATATATATATATATATATATATATATATATATATATATATATATATATATATATATATATATATATATATATATATACATGTGTTCGGGATAAGTTTGACAGTTTCGAATGAAAAAGGAAAATCTTCTTTTTATCTGTTAAATTTAATGAGTTGACAAAAAAATTACAGGCATAGTAAATTACAATACTATGAACAAAATTCACTCAAAAAACAACCATTAGCATCGATCACTGCTTCAATCCTGCTTCGGAATTTCGAACAAGCTAATGCTACAGTCTCCCTGGGAAGGGCCTCAAAAACTGTTTTAATTTTATCCACTAACTGGGCTTTTGTATTACTGGAAGTGTGATTAGTGTCTTTCTTAACTGCACCCCATACAAAATAATCCATGGGGTTAAAGTCTGGGGAGTTTGGAGGCTAAACATTTGGACTGGTGAAGTCGTATAAATTTTCAGACAACCATTTTTGACTTTTTCCAGAGGTATGGCAAGGGGCCAAATCCTGCTGCCATACATACGGCCTACCATTGGCTACCCTTGTTATCCAGGGCTTGACTACAGTGTTCAGCAACTCCACGTAGCCATCTGAAGTCAACCTGAGGTCCTCTTGGAAAAAATGCGGAGGCATCACATCGCCTTCAGAGGATGCACCAAAAACACTCACAGTTTAGGGAAATTTAGTCTCCATTACACAAGGAATGTCCTTTGTACTGCATGCAAGCTATCTGTTATTCTGCGTGTTGTGTTTTTGATCCTGGCAAAAGTTTTTCTCATCGGAAAAGAACCAGATTGTTTGTGGTTCTACAGGATGTTTCACTTTGTCTAGAAGTTTCTTCGCGTTTATCAAACATTTTTCACAGGCCTTTTCTGTGAGTAGCTGACCTTTGCGGCGCTTGTATGAATAGTAGCGAAGGTCTTCATTGAATGCAAGCTTCATAGTAGAGGCTGCAACATTTATTTCACGTGACAAAACCCGAATTCTAATGCCAGGGTTCTTCAACACCTGTTCCTGCAGACTTGCGAGGAATTCTGCTGTACGAATGCAATCAGATGGTTTGCTAGGGATCTTTCTTCTTACTACATCCTTGTAGTCACCATTGCAAGTCTCTACTTCATGCCTGATTGTTTTTACTGTGTTTAGGGAGCATTGGGCAGCAGCCATAATATCCTTATTTTGATGGTTGGCTTGAATCCTCATGATGCAAGTTATTCTCTCCCATGATTCAGGTGGGTTCCAGTCATCCATCCTATCTGACATCTTGTATATGAATGAAAAAGGGTCCAAACTTATATATATATATATATATATATATATATATATATATATATATATATATATATATATATATATATATATATATATATATATATATAATTGATTAAAAACATCATGTTCGATTATATATTATTTTTATTATTAAATGGTGATATTTTGGCTTATATAGTATAAAGCATTATCAAACTGAAAAAACCGTTATACAAAATTTATTAAAACTAAAAACAAAAATGATGTCATTGCAATGTTGCAGATTTAGACTTAACTTTAACAAAAATTGGTCTCCAATGGCGTGTCATCACTAAGTTACCATTGTCGCAATTTAAGATATACTCCTGTGAATAATAGCACTGTAAGCGTTGTATTTCAATTGCTAAGTTATTATCAACCAGGAAAATTTATTAAATCTTGGCCCACAATTTGTACCATCAAAAAATCAAATTTTAATCATGGACATTATAGTATCAACTGAAGAATGTGCTTTAAAATTGTAGGAAAATGTTAATATTGAAAAAGCTGAATTTTTGCGACAAAATGTAAGCAAAACATTAAACAAGTTTTTAAATGTAAAAATAGCTAGTAATTTTTCTAAAAATCAATATCTAGCTTTAAATGAACTAAAAAACTCGAACTAAATAAAGATATACTCTTTTGATAAAGGATGTGGATTTGCTATTTAGATTCAGAATCAGCAATAAAAAAAATCAAAGATCAACTTGGTAACTGCACTATTTCTGCTGTCGATCCTACACAAAATTTTCTTTGTTTAATTCAACAAACTCTCAGTAAATTAAAAAAGGAAAAAAAAATTGATAAAAAAACTTATGATAAAATATATCCTTCTGACGCTGTTCCACCTAGATTATATGGATGCATTAAAGCACATAAAAGTGATAAAGGTTAGTAATGCGAACTATAGTTTTAACTATTGGTAAACCAGCTCATAAACTTTTGCAACATCTTTTTGAAATAATACAACCTACATTTACTACAAAAAAGTTCTTTTTCATTAATATTTGAGGCTAAAGAATGATTTATAGATAAAAATGAAATTCAAGTTTCGTTTGATATTATTAACTTATATCCATTGATTCCACTAGATAAAGCAACAATTTCTATAATTGATATTCTAAGCAAAGATAAAGATAATCTTAAGATGCAAAGTAAGTTGTCATTAGTAGATATTCACAAGCTTATTGAACTTTGTGTAAATAAATGTTATTTTTTATGGGACAAAATACATATCTTAAAAAATTCTTGTCTGATTGGTTAGTCCATTATGTTTATTATCAACAAATCGCGACAATGGTAACTTAGTGATGACACGCCATTGGAGACCACTTTTTGTTAAACTTAGGTCTAAATCTGCAACATTGGAATGACGTCATTTTTGATTTTAGTTTTTATGAATTTTGTATAATAGTTTTTTCAATTTGATAATGGTTTATACTATATAAGCCAAAATATCGCCATATAATAATAAAGATAATCTATAGCCGAACGTGATGTTTTTTATCAATTGAATATAAAATATATTATTAACGATGTCACTTAAATAATATATATATATATATATATATATATATATATATATATATATATATATATATATATATATATATATATATATATATATATATATATATATATATATATATATATATATATATATATATATATATATATATATATATATATATATATATATATATATATATATATATATATATATATATTTATTTATATATATAACTTCCAATAACTCAAACCTCCAGGGGGCCAAGAAATCAATTCAAGTTAGAGAATGTTTGAGTTATCGGAACATTCAATATGTCAAAATATTTCTTTTGAGTGATATGCAGAAAATCAAACAAATTTGATTTCATAAAAAAATTAATCACTTTAATAAGACGTTGTGTTATTTTTCTTTTAAAGATCAAGTTATAGGTAAAATATCAGCCACTGGGACAAATAAAACAGTTTGACTTATCAGGTGAATGTTCGAGTTATCAGGGGCTTGAGTTATTGAGTGATTTTTATAAGAAAGTGTTAGTAAGGGCTCAAGGGGAACTCGAAAGTTTTTCGAGTTATCCGGGGTTCAAGGTATCAGGAGTTCACTGTTGACAATGATGTTTTTGATAAAAAAGAAACTATTTGTAAATGTAATGCTAGTAATATAAGTTGGATTCAGTTTCATTTGTACAATACATTTTTTTTATCTTTATTAAAAACTGATGAAATTCCTTTTCAAAATATTATTTAATTATGACAACTCTGGTTATTTTGCGGTAAGCTGCTACTTTGTGACATATGCATATATGCACATATATTTATTTTGCACATATGCATGCATTCAGAGTTAAAGAGTATGAATCTTTGCCAATATGTTTACCAAATGAAGTTTGTGATTATCAACTGCTTGATACATATATACTACAAGATGACTGTACCTATATTGAGTCTAAATACATGGTTACCATCATGATTTTTTTATTTTATTCTGATTCACTCCTAACAAGGCTGCAAGCAACCACTATTAAGTTGGGAGATACTAGAAAAAAATAATATAGTTATAGAGCAAGGAGACGGTTAACAAAAGAGTTAAAAAGATGTAGTTTGTATGAGTCAGGAAAACATGAAGATGAGAGAGAGCTCCAAAGGTTTGAAAAAAGATAGATTGTTTTAAGGGTTGAAAGAGCTTTAAAGTGTGTGGAAAAAAACTAGACGAATATAAGTTTTTGGAGCATGCAGGGACAGATACAGTAAAATGAATGAGGCTTTGTTAAATGAAGAGTCAAGCGAGAATAAGTTTTAGTACATGGAACTAGAGATAAAAGCTTCTTAGAGCAGTGACCATGATAGTATTTGTAGAAAAGAGAAAGATCTAACTTTAAGATGATGGGAAAGAGGCTTGAGCTTAGAAGATAGACCAAGTCCAACTATATTTACAATACATTTTTCATCTAGAAAAGAAAGAGCATCATAAGAAGAGCCAGCCCAAATATGACAACAGTTTTCCATACAGGGGCTAATAAGAGATTAGTAGAGGTGAAGAATGGAATCAGGAGAGATGAAATGATGAGCACGAAGAAGTGAGATCAGATTCAAGATTGGCTGCCTGTTCTAGGCAATCTAAAACAGAAGACTTTTTGTCAAGACAGGAGTATAAAGTTGAGTCATCAGCAAAAAGAGTTACCTTATATGTAATGTTGCTGGAAAAATTAATAATTTAGATAGAATAATTTAGAAACAAAACAAGACCAAGAATAAAACCTTGAGGTACCCCAGAAGTTACTGGAATTGAATAAGAGTGTTGGCTTTTGATGATGAGCTTTATAAAGCCATTGCAAAGAAACGATTTGATAATCTCAAAAACTCTTCCAGATACACCATATGAATCAAGCTTATGGAGAAGACTAACATGCCAAACTTTGTTGAAAACCTTAGATATGTCAAGAGCAATAGCCTTTGCCTCTCAGCCTTAATCTAATGCACAATCTTTCAGTCACAGTAGTTAGCCAGATAGCAAATCGATGAGCGAGAGGATCGAAAACTGTATTGATTGTCTGACAGCAAGTCATTTGACTCAAAATGGAATATGAGATGTTTAAACGAACAGGCTCCTTTCTGTCTACTAACTTAATGAGAGCACAATCATAAGTTCTCATACCTACATTGAAGATTGTCTTCATATTTATACTTTGAAATTTGAAAAAAAGAAATGTGTTTATAAATTGTATTTGAGTTTCAGGTGATGAAAAAGTTTTAAAAAATTGATTATTTAAGCATTTTGCAATAGATATCTTATCTACTAATTGCACTCCATCGTGCATTCAACATCGTGGTCGAAAAGAGATCGAATTTCACTTTAACAAGCCTTTTTTGGACAAGACTTACAAGCATATATATATATATATATATATATATATATATATATATATATATATATATATATATATATATATATATATAAATCTTTATTCAAAATTGATTTGCATTACAAATAATAAATTGTACAATATTATCTATTGTGTTATTTCTCTCTCTCACTCTCTCTCTCTCTCTCTCTCTCTCTCTCTATATATATATATATATATATATATATATATATATATATATATATATATATATATATATATATATATATATATATATATATATATATATATATATATATATATATATATATATATATATTCATTCCATTATTGAATTTTAGATAATTCTTCAAACGAATGCGACTTCAGAAATCTCACGTTTATTCGTACAGCTAATTTCAAGCAAAAACATTTATATATGGACAGTGGATTTAACACTAGAAAAATTTTTTTATAATTGATGATATATTTTTATAAACATAGATATATTGGATTGTAAAATAAGATTTATTTTTGTTAATTTTTTGAAAATATTTATATCAATTGTTTAAAAAAAGTTTTTTTTTCTTTATTGCCATATTTTGAAATATATGTAAAATACTTAGGAAAGTCGTTATTTGCATTTCTATTTTGGCCTTAAGTAACTAGCTTAAATATCTTAAATAATTATAATTAAATATTAAAAATCTATTAAATAGTTATATATTATATAAATATCAGATAATAAAAAATGTTCAAGAAGTCAAAAAAGTATCCGTGCAACGAAGTAATAATGCAAAAATATTGAACGGTTCGTTAAAAAACTATAACGGGTTCTTTAAAGAACCTCATTTTAAGGTTCTTCCGAAGAACCTTCGCAAAGGGTTCTTTGAAGAACCTCTACGAGTTCTCCACCAGCGTCAACACGAAAAACCCTTAAAGATTTTTTGAAGAACCATTTGGGTTTAGAGTGTAGATACGATATAAATGAAATGATTATTATTAGATTTTAGCAGCCGTGGTGCAGTGGTTAGAGCAACCAAAGGTTGCGGGTTCGTTCCCGCTCGAAGCACTTAAACGACTCGAAGCCGTTTTTTATTTATTTGAAGACATTTGCTAATTTGAAAACATTAAATGTTGTGAAGCGCTTTAAAATCTATTGTTTGTTTACCTGTTAAAAAAAAAACTAAATTTATATGAGTAAAAATTTATGCAGAACTTCTTTTTTTAAACTCTTTACAATTAATTTCTTTTGTTTTTAATTTAAATTTAAAGGTATTATCACTATTTTTACTTTGTAAAACTTAATGGCCAGGAATAAATTCGCAATTGTCATGTTTTGGATCTCTGGCCAAGATTTGATGTTTTTCACGCCTTCTACTATTTGTGCTAAAACTTGTTAACTTATTAACTTGTCATAAATTGTATCTCAAGAGGTTTTTTAAGAGTTTAGAAATATTTTTAAGAATCTAAGCGATTCGCGGTAACATGAATCATTTTAAAATTAAGCGGCCATGATTTGATGGTTTTACCCTAAAAAAGTTTATTTAAAATTAGAGATCGTTATTTTAAGCAATATATAGTGCATTTTTGGTACTATATTTGGTACTACTTTGGTACTATATTTTGGTACTACTTTGGCAGTATATAGTGCATTTTTGGTCATTTTTAAACATTGCTCATTGTTAGTTTTGTTTATTGTTATTCTATATTTTTATTAAATAGCACCGTTATTTAAGGTAAATTTAATAACACTTCAATATCATTTAGAAAACAAAATTGTCGGAAATAGTGCAAAACCGCGTAACTAGCATTGGATTATACCGCGTATCTACAATACATTTTTTTTACTGAAGAAATTTATTCATATTTTTTGTAATCTCAACAATAAATATTTGGTGTTAAAATTAATAATATCCGAATAGCCAACGCTAGTAACGCGGATTTGCCGAAATTTTAACTATTGTTTTTATCTCGCTTGCTTTTTTAAGCTTTTATCTACCTTGCAATTAAAAATACGCAAATATAAATAATCGTTCCTAATGGGATATGATCTAAACACAACCGATGATATATTAGGAATAACTATTAGATAAATAATAAAATTTGTTGAAGGATAAAAAATTTTTCTTAATATATCATTGCATATAACTAATTAATTATACGAGCTTGTTGCGCATTCTTAATCTTATATAATGTATGATTAGACTAAATAACTTGATTTAATTTATTTTTAAGATTAATACAAATATAATACTATAGTTTTTATTATTAATTTAATAAAATTAATGGACCAATAATACAACATCAGTTTTTGCTACGTCTGCTAACATTTGTCCAACAACATCTGTATTTATAATGATATATTACTACATCTGTCCAACAACATCTATTAATACACTGAGGTATAATAAAATCTGTCCAACAACATCTGGAATTTCGTTAAGGTCAAATAACATCTGTATAAAAAGTATGATTACTTCAGATGTAGTTACATCTTTTCAATAATGTTGAGAAAACTACATCTGTAAATTCTATAGATTTAGTTACATCCTTTCAGTTCTGTCATTGAAAAGATGTAACTAAAAAAATATAGATGATCTTGGATAAAAGTGTACAGATGATCTTGGACTAATCTACAGGT